TTTGTGCTCCCACTGGGTGAGCGCAAAACCATTGTAGTGTAATGAGTACTACTATTACTAAATGCATAATTAAGCACATGTTCATTTTCAACCTTTGTTCCTCTCTCAGTCTCTTGTGCAGTCCAGGAAAGCAGGGATCTCGCATGCATTAGCTGCACGCTCTTCACTAAAGGATGAAGAACTGGTAAGACATGCAAAATATACAAACATATATCTGCTTCTCACTTTATCAAGTTGTTAGTCATATTGTAACAGAAGTAGCGACAGAGCTTTTCTTCTGTATTATGACATACATTTGAGTGAAACAGGACCAGAATTTATAAAGAGTATCTTGTACTCTTACCATTTTAACTTCTCAATGCTTTTTCTGTTTGAACCATTCTTCACAACTTCGAGATTTTTCATTTCAACACATTTTACATGCGATCTGGGCTTCGTTTTAAAATGTCTTCTTCAGGGTTACGTCTTGGGCCCATTTCTGGCAGAAACAATTTTCAGTTTCTTTTTCTTTCTGTAGAAGAATCACGTGTACAAGAAGACACTCCAGGCTCTGATTTACCCTATTTCTTGCACAACACCCCATAACTTTGAAGTGTGGACGGCCACTACGCCCACCTACTGCTATGAGTGTGAGGGTTTGTTGTGGGGCATTGCACGGCAGGGCATGCGCTGTTCAGAGTGTGGTGTCAAATGCCACGAAAAATGCCAGGAGCTTCTCAATGCAGACTGTTTACAGAGTGAGTCACTAACCAAATACAGAAAAACAAGCAACAACAAAACAATCCTTTATTTATTGTTACTTTAGTGTTGCATACTGCAGTTATAGTTAGCTGTTTATTTAGTTCAGTATTTTTTGGCATTATCCCTTATGAATCTGTGCCATTGTCAAATGCCTTTTAATGAACGTAACCAGCTCAGTGAGGAGAAAGCATGCAAAAATGTGTAAGAAATATTATAAGCTTATGCACTAGAACACTAATTCTCAATATGCAATTTATAAAAAAAATATACAAAAAATGCTAATTTTTAAATTCAACATTGTAATTTGAAATATAATTTGTAATGCAAAAAGGTACAAATGTAAAATAGAAACCTTTTCACTAGTTCAGTATACAGGGTTTAACATGTTTTCGTTTTATTGCATGTTTTAATTTGCAATTAAATTATATTATTAAACGCATCTCTACAATTGCTAGGAGCTGCTGAGAAGAGCTCCAAAACAGGAGCAGAGGACAGAACCCAGCATATCATATCGGCCATGAAGGACCGCATGAAGATCCGAGAGAGGAACAGGCCTGAAATCTTTGAGATGATAAGGCTTGTGTTCAGTGTGACTAAACTGAACCATGCTCAGCAGATGAAGGCCATCAAGCAGACTGTTCTTGATGGAACATCAAAATGGTCTGCCAAAATCTCCATCACAGGTATGGAAGCAAGGGCAGCTGTTATTGCTCTGATACCTTTCAGTGATCAAGGAGTAGTTTTATAAATGCAGTTTTCTTATAGGGCTTTTAATAACATGCACTGTGCCAGCATTAGAATGCATTTTTCCATTTTTTT